GTCCAAAACTCCAAAAATTAGAAAACATCCGTCTATCAGGCCATTAAAGAAAGAAGTATTTATATTAGTAACTTACACAAAACGATATTTTATTCCAAAGAAAATAGAAATCGATACTTTGCTGAACTAAAATAAAAAAAATGATAAAACCCGATATCTTATTCCACAGAAAACAAATTGTTATACTTTCACAGATTACACAAAACGATAAACCATTCCACAGAATATGTATTCTCCTCAGAAAACAGACGTTTATGGTTCTTATAAATATTTATCAGAAACTCTACGCCCCGTTAATGTTATGATCTGACATAAATGGACGAGAAGTGATTTATAACATTTAAAACAGAGACAAGGAGATCCTTGAATTATTTTACGTAATGAATATGTGAAATAAATTCGCTTGCAACATTCAGACAAATAAAATTGTTAGAGTTTCGATTTTCGCTATCATTATTCGAAAAAAAAACCCAAATGCCAAATCGTTTCCTAGTTTTGAAATATTTTGTCTAAAAATCTCCTTGTATCTAAAACGACGTGTTTGAATCTAAATACAAATAATGCAATGTCATTTAGAATCTCACACGAGTCTGTCATTTACCAATAACGATGAGATTTAGATACTAGGTTTAAACTGTCAAAGTGAAAGCCCACAACTGATCAATAAGTGTCTGTTTTGTCCTTATCTAATTACTGTTATCAATATCCTGGTATCTTAATGCTACCTCAGAAAAAACCTGTCTTCTAAATGAAATAACGATTTCCTTCTTAATTGATATTACATTTAAAAACAAAACAAAACAAAAAAAGCAAACAAACAAAACAAAAACTATACTCACAAATCATGATTTCGTCTCATTTTCTGTATCAATGTTTCTTTGGAACATATTTGTAATTCCGAGTTATTGTAAATTAGACATTGTGTGTAATTATGAAATATCCAGCATGGCTCTCTGGCTTATAAATGTATATTGTACCTCGACAAACGATGGAAATCATATGAAGCACTCATCCTTATATACCGAGACAAAAACCGTGGCAAATTACAAGTCAACTAAAACTGTGATAAATATTTAATTTATACGATATAGGGCCAGAAATCTACCTAAATATGGCGACAGAAACAGCGTTTGAATTTCTGTTAAATAATTCAGTACTTTATCATAAAGCATAGCTACCTGACACAGGTGTAACATAGCGTCCGAGTCAACAAAGTCCGTGAATAGGACAATAGCGCGGCAGAGAGTCAGTCTGCAGACACGTAAACACTATTACAGAAATGGAATTGAGTATTCGTCATTTATTGATAATCCAATGTGTCAGAAGTAATGGTGTTTATTCCACATATTTAAGTTCCCCTAGGACCAGGATTAACAAACCTTGTTCACATAGACGACATTTGTAAACTCTCTGGAGACTAAGATTACCCAGCCTCATTCTGATACCACTTTTATTGGATGTTCCAAATCGTTGTCAATATAATTTATTGACCAAAGTGTCGACAACCAACATAGGAACATTACGAAGCCAGAACGGCAATCAAACGAAGGATAAATTATTGCCATCAGTTATAAAACAGCCAGAGGGATACAAATTAAATAAATGTTTTTTTTTGTTTTGAACAAAAACTTTATACTAAATCGATAACAGATTGCAATTTATGTAACAAGGGCGATTCAACCAGAGGAAGTGACATCAACCGTTGACTTTGAACAAACTGAAAAGGCAGACTCCCTCCTTTTCCTCCCATTGATTGTGTTACACTAGTAGCCTAAATCTGGAGAAGCATCGCGGCAGTAGGTACTGTAACAGTGTGACGAAGATGTGTATCTTTTTTGTCCCTGTCTCTGTCTCACATCTTTACGCTGGATGACATATCAGAAGTTGCTAGTAATTACATATAGATAAAACGGTATGTTTTTATTCCTTTGAAGAGTATGACCATTTTGTATGTTTTGTAAAAAATATATATTACTTACACGTTATCTAGATTAACAACATTTGAATTGTACACACCGCTTCACATGGATTATTCTCAGTTTCAATACATCTAAACGTAAAGTGAGGAACTCTGCTTAGGGAAACAGACAACATTTAAATCTGTATCACTGATGCATGGCATGATCATTAATAATCCAGCAGGTCACAATGGATAACCATTCAAGCGTGAAGGACTCTTTTCCTCATTTAAATCGTATTGATTTTCCTCGCTGTACAAATGTCTATCATATTTACATTTAAAAGATGAATATCACAGATGGTTGACAAGCATGGGCAGAGTAATTAGTCCACAATCTAAAAAGTGTTCAGATGTACTGGGTCAGACAGCTGTTTAAAAGCCATGTTTTTTAAACTGTAAATATTTAATAAAGCATTGATCTGTGTTGTCGTGCTGTTGGATTCCTTCAATAATCATTACTTGCCAACAAACCAACTATACAAAAACAGGTATAATAAGCACCTTGTCGATAGCATAGTGATATTGATATGATGAAGGGTGTGATTACAGTGTGAACCAATAATATAACGAAGGGTTGTGAGGAACTTTTACTGACGATCACTAACACGTCTATAAGAAATGTCTACAAGAGAGGACGATCAACATGTCCATAAGTACAGGGTATATCGAGAACAGCGAAGTAGTTCTACACATAAATGTAGCGATAGTAGTCAATACACGTGTCTGAAATATACGGCGGATCGTTCGTAGCTTACGTTAAATATGAGTAACATATAACTGGTGTGTAATCAACCTATTTTTTCAGAATACTTCATTGGATTAATACTTTACATGCCTAGCGAACAATATTTTTCAATTACAAAATAAACGCCTTGACGCGTATAAAACGTTACATTTCGTGTCAGAAATCATTTTGTATCGACCATGTGTAGATACTAAAGGAGTAAACAGTGCGTCATATGACGGGTTGTTGTTATCAGCTAGTCATTAAAAACACTCCCGTTCAACAGAGCTCTGTTGTTACAGTCTGATCATAACTTAAGAGACAGTTTAAAAACGTAAAATTTGACGCTAATGTACCATAAAAAAAAATCCAGTTCCAAAAAAATGTTATGTAAAGGAATTAACCCATTCTCTGAAAACATACAACCTACTAAGTATCTAGACATCTATCAAAATTTATGTTTAGAAAATGTTTGTTATGTAACGCAGGTGCATAAAAAGTGTTTATAGTATAGACTGTTTAACAAACAACGTACTTTTCACATTATAATACTGAGAACAAAATACTCCATGTAAACGTAATTAACTTGGTGAAACCAAATGATAATTATATATATTATGACATATTATTATTATCATTATAACTTTCTTGTTAAGTTAGCGCAAGGATGAATTAAGCGTCAGTAAAAATTGCCATATAGTCAGCACACAGAAACTACAATTGGTTAAATGATATTTTAGCGCAATACTTTTCAGGTCAAAAAGTGTGAAAATATAAAAGCCGCTAAAATTAGTACCTTAACAGTCGTCACTAATCATCACAACCCTTGCAATGCTTGTCTAAAATATTCCAGTGAAATATAGAAAAATACAAAATACAGTTATATAAAGAATTATGTATCTGCATTTATAGATCATAAAAAGACTGTATCAACAATATGAATAAGAAAAATAGTCCGTTTTCATTAGAAATAATAATAAAAAAATTTTCATTTTTGTTTTGAATATCTTTTGAGTAATGTATTTAACTAATATTTTGATACCTGATTTTGTTGTAGAACTGTTTAACTAAAGAAGAATAGACACTATCTATAACATGTTTGGTAAGCATTTCATAAGGAATACCATTCATGTTCGATTGTGTTAACAACTGACATTAGATTACAATTTGTACGTGACCAAGATTTGTTGATCATGAAGTCGTTAAATAATGTTTTTGTTGATGTACAGATATACTGCTCCACCTGGTTCACTGAGTTATAAGGTAAAAAATAAAGTCTCGCATTTCGTGACTGACTACAGATATCACACATAAAATACATCATACAAGAAAACATTTAACACTTCATGTTATCTATATCATGACAGTGGACGGTGTTCTATCACTGTTATTTCATGAAACGTGACTCATCATCTTATCCCAGTAATTTCGGGACGCGTCTGTATCGATTGGTTAACAGGACAATAGACTACATAGGTATGAATGTATCGCAAGGATAACTGGACATTGTAATGATTACTAATACAGTATTACAGTCGCATTAACAACAAGACAAGTCACAAACACCGTAAACTTGTCATAATTACTTCATAGCTCAGCAATATATATATTGTTTCGCAATAACATGATACGTATTGGCGTTATAAACAAATAGAATTCAATGTAAAATCCGGCCTAGATTTTGAAATAATTATATAAGCATGTAAAGGAGTGAACAGCATTTGAAAGTATCGAAATATATAGCATTAGAGGCGACTAATGTGGCCTCCTCTACAGGGCTATTTCACTTAGGCAGAAGAAATCAAGAATTTAACCAGGATAAACCGAAGAATCCAAATTGAAATGGTGTCAGCATTGAATTTTTTCTCGTTTTCTTCCACAACTGCTCCTTATTAACTATGGTTTGTTTTGCTCTTGTTGATCAATGGAGCATGAAAAGGTATGCTGTGACCTGTCAATGAAATCGGCTTTTCGCAGGTAATTCGGTTTTCTTACGCATAACCAAGTACCCAGTACCTATAGTATTGGTATACTGATGACATTAAGGTCACGAATTGCAAATCGCTGTTCAACATAGCCGAATTTTTTATCGGCCGCGAAGATATCGTTCTTTGAAATAATCTGAAACCAATCTGAGAGTATTGATTAATATGTATTAAAATCTCACAAACTTCAAATGAAATTCTTATCGACCATATCTCATCAGTTCTTCGTATACAGCTGGGATACTCACCACTACAGTCTATGGAAAATGAAAAAAGACATATTAAAATGTTGACTTCTCGAAAGACATTACAAGCAAGAGTTTTTACTTACAATATTGATAAATTCTTGATAGGATATGAACTGACGATTAGGCTCCAGACACTTCATCATTAAGACCTCTGCAGTGTGTCTGTCCAAGTCCGGATAAAATTCGGGATCTTGTAGGACACGCTCAAAATCCTCAACTGTCATTTCTCCGCCACCTGTCCGGTCTACCTTCGAGACAAAATGAATAAGGGTTAATTTTTTCGGTGAAATGTTTTATAAAACACAAGCATTTAAGTTAAATGCGGATTTCTTACTTTTTCAAAAGACTGGATATTTAGATTAAGAAATCTAAGCAACATGTAATGTAAACACACGAGGAAAATAAGTGAAATGACAATACCAAAATCTTGAACTGTCGAAACAACAATACCAATGACTGAAGAGTCAAAAGACAAAACAAAAAGCTGAGGAGACAAAAGACAAAACAAAAGATCTGAGGAGACAAAAGAAAAAAACAAAGAGTTGAGGAGACAAAAGACAATACAAAAAGCTGAAGAGACAAAAGACAAAACAAAAAGCTGAAGAGACAAAAGACAATACAAAGAATCGAGGAGACAAAAGAAAAACAAAGATCTGAGGAGACAAAAGACAAATCAAAGAGTTGAGGAAACAGAAGAAAATAAAAAGAGCTGAGGAGACAAGAGACAATACAAAGATCCGAGGACACAAAAGACAATACAAAGATCTGAAGAGACAAAAGACAAAACAAAGATCTGAAGAGACAAAAGACAAAACAAAGAGCTGAGAAGACAAAAGACAAAACAAAGAGTTGAGGAAACAGAAGAAAATAAAAAGAGCTGAGGAGACAAGAGACAATACAAAGATCCGAGGACACAAAAGACAATACAAAGATCTGAAGAGACAAAAGACAAAACAAAAAGCTGAGGAGACAAAAGACAATACAAAGATCTGAAGAGACAAAAGACAAAACAAAGATCTGAGGAGACAAAAGACAAAACAAAGATCTTAGGAGAAAAGACAAAACAAAGATCTGAAGAGACAGAAGACAAAACAAAGATCTTAGGAGAAAAGACAAAACAAAGATCTTAGGAGAAAAGACAAGGCCAATATTGAAGGAAAAATAAAATGAAGAGGATCCTCAAGATTTTATTTTCCTAAAATATAAACAAAGTTTGTGTCGAAAGCACGATAAATGTATTTATTGTGAATGATATCGCAACTCACGTTAACACGCCTCAACACAAGAATTAATTACGCCAACAGGATTTGAAAAAAGTTCGAAACTTTGGTTTTTACTTTAAAATCATGAAATATCGACTGGTTTGTGTAGATATGATTTTGATTGTACTTAAAATCCGATAAATGCGAGGTTCTTTTATACCGCTTTGTTGAAGCTCTGACTGAGCGTTTCACAAATTTTCAAAAATATCCATGTATATTGCTATTAGCCTAAACGTTTACTCAACTTCCTGGTGGCATACAGCAGGAAGAGCCATTCCTTACTTATAACCTATACAACATGTAAAGCGCCTTGTCCATATATGGCGCCCGTGCCAGTAGCCGAACTAGTCCCCTTTATATCACCAGCCAAATTTAATGTTACTAGACTTTGAATTTAGATAGAATTTTAATGACATAACCAACGCGAGTCACAGACAGTTTTTTTTAAAGATAACTATCTTAAAAAATAAATTTGTCATTTGTGGAGGTTGAAAACTTGTGAATGTCAAAACCACGAAAAAAAATCATTTTTTACCCAACGAATGGAAAAAATGGTGAGCGCGGAGGAAACATTAATACTGACGTATGGTAATAAGTCAGAAAGATTTTTTTTTCTTTTTGCCACAACATAAGACATTTGGAGCTTGTGCTAGAATAATCCTCACTTTGGAGAGATATGTGCGTTACAGAAGGATAGTTTGCATAACGTGTCTACAGTCGGAGGGACACCTTCTCTAACAAGCATTCTTACTGTTGATAGTTACTGGCGAACTTCAATTTGACGTGACTGTGCACACCCTGAAATCATCAGCTCCATAACAACTGGGGGTTTAAAGGTCAAACATTTTCTAACGACAGTATAGCTACACTCAGCAACGTAATGTATCTCATTTGGCTTTTCTTGACAATACAAAATAATCACGTAGACTTTTTATTTATTCACCAAACATATATACACTATATGGAATTGCCTCATTTACGCCTGATGCTGATTTTCGACATTGAAGGTGATGTAATGCTGTATGTAGACCTAGAATACCATCCCTACCGTGAATATCTACATTATCTCACGATGCATCTGTATTAAATATAAGCGAATTTAATCAGTGTTGTCAGGCTCCACACTTTAAATTCAGTTTCTAGTATTGATTAGTCGGACAAAACAGCGTTACAATCTTGCAGTTCTTACATTAAGTTGAAAGCTATACCGGTGAGGGACAAGACATGACTACACTATCAGAGAGGCTAAACGTTCGTGGTAAGATAAATCACCATTGTCTAGTGCCTCTCAGTCACACTTATGTCAGTTCCTAATGACAAACAATAAAACCAGACTAGGGAAAACTCTTTGTAATGTAAGTATGTCTCGTCATGATTTTATGAAAAAAAGAAGATGCGTTATACTAGCATATGAGGCAAGAGACCTCTTTGTCACTACGACCGTTATTTCCGATTATCTGATGACGTCAGTTCTTCATCCGACACGCGCTCCCAGTAGAGATATATAACGGTTTAGATCTAAGAAAAGCAACCGAGAAAAAATAACATTAAAAAAATAGGGTTATTGTAACATCCAAGAAAGGTAATACCGGGTCATTCTAACATCCAACCTAGAAAGGTAATACCAGGTCATGCTAACATCCAACCCAGAAATGTAATACCGGGTCATTCTAACATCCAAACAAGAAAGGTAATATCGGGTCATTCTAACATCCAACCCAGAAATGTAATACCGGGTCATTCTAACATCCAACCAAGAAATGTAATATCGTGACATTCTAACATCCAAACAAGAAAGGTAATACCGGGTCATTCTAACATCCAAACAAGAAAGGTAATATCGGGTCATTCTAACATCCAACCGAGAAAGGTAATACCGGGTCATTCTAACATCCAACCCAGAAATGTAATACCGGGTCATTCTAACATCCAACCAAGAAATGTAATATCGTGACATTCTAACATCCAACCAAGAAATGTAATACCGGGTCATTCTAACATTCAAACAAGAAAGGTAATACCGGGTCATTCTAACATCCAACCCAGAAATGTAATACCGGGTCATTCTAACATCCAAACAAGAAAGGTAATACCGGGTCATTCTAACATCCAACCCAGAAATGTAATACCGGGTCATTCTAACATCCATCCCAGAAAGGCAATATCTGGTCATTCTAACATCCAAGTCATACCCCTAACATCCAACAAGAAAGTAATACATTCTAACATCCAAACAAGAAAGGTAATATGACAACAAAGTCATACTCCAGAAATGACCTGACAACAAAGTCATTCTAACATCCAAATGACCTGAAACAATAGTCATACTCCCCAAGAATGAATACCTCAACAAAGTCATACTCCCCTAATGACCTGACAACAAAGTCATACTCCAGAAATGTAATGACCAAAGATACTCAATGACCTGACAACAAAGTAATACTCCCCTAACATCCAAACCTGACAACAAACAACAAATGTCATACTCCACATTCTAACATCCAAACAAGAATGTAATACCTGACAACAAAGTCATACTCCCCTAATGACCTGACAACAAAGTCATACTCCAGAAATGACCTGACAACAAAGTCATACTCCAAAGTAATGACCTGACAACAAAGTCATACTCCACTAATGACCTGACAACAAAGTCATACTCCTGACAACAAAGTCATATATCTAATCCAAACAAGAAACTCCCCTAATACCTGACAACAAAGTCATACTCTGCTAATGACCTGACAACAAAGTCATACTCCCCTAATGACCTGACAACATTCTAACATCCAAACAAGAAAGGTAAAGTCATACTCCCCTAATAACCGGGCAACAAAGTCATTCTCCCCTAATAACCTAACAACAAAGTCAAAAAATCTTAAGATAACCTGACAACAAAGTCATACTCCACTAATGACCTGACAACAAAGTCATACTCCACTAATGACCTGACAACAAAGTCATACTCCACTAATGACCTGACAACAAAGTCATACTCCCATAATGACCTGACAACAAAGTCATACTCCTCTAATGACCTGACAACAAAGTCATACTCCACTAATAACCTGACAACAAAGTCATACTCTGCTAATGACCTGACAACAAAGTCATACTCCACTAATGACCTGACAACAAAGTCATACTCCCATAATGACCTGACAACAAAGTCATACTCCCCTAATGACCTGACAACAAAGTCATACTCCACTAATGACCTGACAACAAAGTCATACTCCAGACCTGACAACAAAGTCATACTCCACTAATGACCTGACAACAAAGTCATACTCCACTAATGACCTGACAACAAAGTCATACTCCCTTAATGACCTGACAACAAAGTCATACTCCACTAATGACCTGACAACAAAGTCATACTCCAATAATGACCTGACAACAAAGTCACAAAGACAACAAAGTCATACTCCACTAATGACCTGACAACAAAGTCATACTCCACTGACAACAAAGTCATACTCCACTAATAACCTGACAACAAAGTCATACTCCACTAATGACCTGACAACAAAGTCATACTCCCCTAATGACCTGACAACAAAGTCATACTCCCCTAATGACCTGACAACAAAGTCATACTCCACTAATGACCTGACAACAAAGTCATACTCCACTAATGACCTGACAACAAAGTCATACTCCCCTAATGACCTGACAACAAAGTCATACTCCACTAATGACCTGACAACAAAGTCATACTCCATACTCTAATGACCTGACAACAAAGTCATACTCCCTACTCCCCTAATGACCTGACAACAAAGTCATACTCCACTAATGACCTGACAACAAAGTCATACTCCACTAATGACCTGACAACAAAGTCATACTCCACTAATGACCTGACAACAAAGTCATACTCCACTAATGACCTGACAACAAAGTCATACTCCACTAATGACCTGACAACAAAGTCATACTCCCCTAATGACCTGACAACAAAGTCATACTCCAATAATGACCTG